AAATTGGTACTCGCACGCTATTAATTTCATGTTAAAATCGCTATATTTTGGACCTGAATAGAACTTAGGAACCCGAAGAATGCTATTGAGAAGCTATAAATTAAATCTAAACTGGAGATTCAAGGCAATCACTTACTGATCATGATGGATTAAGTGTGGATTCCATTGCACTTCCATCAATTTTGTAACTTAAAAGCCCTTACGGTTACAACATGAATTGTTGAACTCTCCATTTCGGGCATGCCTCCCAAATCATGGAATCCGCATGCACAAGGGTGAATGGGACATGCATAATCATGCCGATGGTCCATGACTCCTGTCGCCCTCCCTACACAAGACATGAAATGCAAACAAAATGAAAATGAAATATCGAAATAGTAAAAAAATCGCCTTCATGATGAACTTGACTTAGAAAATTGCTTAACCATCACCAAACATCTTAAAAAATTAAACCGTAGACCGTGGACAAAATTCGCTACGCAAAATTATTGCAACAATAATATGCTCCATTGTGAATTCTCGTCCCTTCAAACAGTTATTTTACAAAAATCTCACTCCCCCACTCTATCGGGCGGACGTGCACTAATCGCTCTTGTCCCCTCCATCTACACTCCCTTCACTAGATGGACCTTCATCAGATGGACTCAGATCGAGAAGTGCAGCTTCAGCATTCAGCCGAACACTGGAAGGAATGACAAGTCCAGTTGTGAATGGTCTTGTACTACGGAACAGTCTCTTCCAACCAAAAGCGATCGAGTCAGCATCCTGCCATTGTGTCTGATCAGTCATTTTCCATCGTTTTTCCCATGCGTTCTCATACAGTTGTTCGAGCGACTTTGCTCTCCCAGTGAGTGGGAGGATCTTTACAACCAGCGGTCGCTAGATCTTGTCCTCGTGGAAACGATAAGGGAAGCAATGCGGTCTGCGTTCGAAAATAAAGAACAGACGTACGAGTTGCTGGTCTTCAAGCTCGCACCACAGGGACTTCAAAAACCAACTCCTGGGACCAAGGCACAACGTCTGAAGCCAGAGAAGTGGAAGGATGAGCTGGCGAGAGAATACTACTACTACGCGGTGTGCGGGCAGCACAACGCGGCTGCAGCCAGGTCGCTGCTCGGCAGCGAGGTGGCCAAGAAGTACAATTTCGAGCGGTGGCCGGCACGAATGGTGTACTTTTCCGACGATGACTTCGAAGGGTATTTTCTTGTTAGTTCACAGGACAACAAGAAGGACCTGAAGGCGTCTCCCAGACAGTTGAAACTTCTATGAAATACATTCGATGGCAGTGGAAGCATGACGGCTGCCCGAGAGCTGTGATGGGGAACCCTAGCGGGAAACAAGATCAGGTCCAGGCTTGGCGTAAGTTTTGTACAACGGCGCACCATAAGGCGCCTCAAAACAGCTTGTGGCTTCTCGCGGATCAAAAGGAAGAGGAGGCCATTAAGAAGCAAAATGCTGCCCTGCGTTCTTACTTACCTCTGGCGATGGCCGAGGAAAATGTCTGGAAACAGGTCGTGGAATTTTTCGAAAAATGGAAGACGGGCAGATTGTTGAGCCACGATGGGGGGAAGTAGACCGTAAAAAAAAAGAAGGTCAAAAACGTAAAGCCTGGGGTCGCCTACATCCACAACGACAAATTGGGCAGAACGGAGGTGGTGTACAACGTCCCCATGAACCCGCCGAATAAAAAGGGCAAAAAGGAGAAAGAGGAGGGCGATTGGTTCGTGCAAGTGCCAGACCCGGATGCGCATTGTTGGAAAGCAATGGAATCACTCACGGACAATGAGAAGTGTCGCGTTCTGAAAAAGGTGCTTGCTTGCGAGGTCGTTTGGGTCCACGCCGGCTCCCCGTCGTTGGCGAAGTTGGGAAAGCTCAGCGTGCAGGACATGGTTCAGCTGGTGAAGTGCGACCACGTGCTGGTCCGGTTGTGGAATTACTACCAATTCAAACACGAAAAGAGGCCGGACGCGGACTGGATCCTAAGGTACCATTTCCTGAAATCGAGGTCTGTCGTGTTCAAGAAGTTTGAAGGTCAGGGATTGGATGACGAGTTGTGGGATAACAACAGGAAACACGTTTCCGACTCGGCGCTGTTCAAGGACTGCCCGCCGTATATGGGTTGCGACCAGGACAACTCGATTGAGGTGACGGAGAAGTTGGCGGGCCACAAAAAGTTGTCCGTCGACTGGAGAAACAAGGTTCTCTCCATGTTGAATGGAAGCAGACTGAAGAGCCGGTAAGTCGCACTTGCCGAAGGCGTCGTTCACATTAAATGGAAAGATACGAGGGACGTGACATCCATCGCGTCGTTCGTCAACGACCCTTTAGAGGCGGACATCAGGGGCGCAGAGCTGAAGGAGGCAGTGGCTGCCACAAAGAGCCACACGTTCGTCCTAGATCTATGCGAGCCGGTTGACCTCAAACTGTGGAAGCCCCAAGCGTGGGAGACTTTGAATTCCTATTTTCAGACGTGGTGTCCCTCGCATTGGACTCTCGTTGTTTTCGCGTAGCGGCAACACAACCTGTCGTTTCTCGCCAGCATGCACCATCTTTCTTTCGTCAAGTTGTTGGAAGGGAAGTGGGTGCAGAAAGTGCAGCAAAAAAAAAGCTTCCCCGTTGGGAACAATTTGTACACGGAGGAAGATCGCATGTACATCCTCTTCAAGGGTGACGATCTGCGCGTCAACACGTCCGTGGTCTACGAGGGAAACCTCCCCACGGGTGCCGCTGCTGCGGTGCGATTACCTGAGAGGGTCACCCAGGCGGATGTGTCCGAGATTCCTTTCACGCCTTGCGACTGGTCGCTGGTTGCGCCTGAACGAAAGGGCAGCGTCTACGGGGATATGGAACGCAATCCGACCCAATTCGTCGGTCTTCTTGATTTTCTTGGCAAGAAGGGAGAGGGTGTCGTGTTCCTTGGGAAACCGCAYGCGCGAAGCGTCTGGGAGCTTCTGAAGGCCGGCCGGCACGTTGTCGCAATGGAAGGGAACTCCGACCTCTTGCAATTCACGATGCAGGTGGTGAAAAGCGAGGTCAATTCGAGTGGGCACAATTGTGAGTTCATGGTCATGAGGCCAACACGGGATAAGGTATGGAGCAAGAAGACGGATATGTGGTTTAAGTTGAGCGAGATGAAGAGGAACAAGATATACGATTATTTGTTCCTTCAAACGCGTCCGAGGAGGGACACTGACGCCGAGTACATCCGCCGGAAGGACCACATGTTGGCACTGCTCGACAACTACCACTTTGCCTCCCGCATGAACGCGAAGACGTTTATCGAAAGGCTGCAGTCGCTGTACTTCGTGGAGTCCGAGGAGCAGTTGAAGCTAACCAGTTTCTCTTCCCTGATGTCCACTGACGACGAGGAAGCCATAGGTGTGGAGTTTGTCGGAAACAAGAAGGAGGAGGAGAGCGACACGGAGAGCATCGACCTGCAGTACGACCCGCCTCCTGCGGACCACGACCGAGGGTCCTCGTCGGTCGGTCCGTCACCAAGCGCTGCAGCCCTCGTGTCACTATTGGCCAAACCGGCGCCGGGCAGCACGCCGATGAAGTTGCTGGAGAGACTAAGAGCTCTGGCCGCCCCCCCGCCCGCTTTGCCCCCCGGGTCCGTTGTCTTGCCCAATCATCCGTCTTGGAAGGATGACAACATCCACTTCCTGCTTGAACCGCAACGTCATTCACCTGAGCAGGACTGGGGCCATGACATGGTTTGGCATCCGGGAGTCATCCACCCAGTGATACGAAATGGCGAGTGGGTCATGGCCGTGGCAATCCCGGGCGCGGGATAGGTGTTATTCCCACGCGAGTCGAAGTCCAACTTCCTGCACCTCGCGAGGATTTCGGTCCTCCAGAAAGTGAAGGTCGAAAATGACACTTTAGCACCCGGCGACCTGTCCCTCATTTCCACTGCCGGTCGACTGTTTGACGAGCTTTAGGACAAGTGCTGGTTGGAATTGACGGAGGACTACTACGAGCTCGACACGAGTCTGTCGAAGGGCGTGGTGGACTGGAAAGTGCCCCCTCCCAGTGGGCCGGACGGTGGTTCAGGGGGGGGGTCACCTGAAAGCGGAGGGGATGGGGGTGGTGACGCAGGGGGTGGCAAAGGAATCCCGCCTATGGGGGAGAGAGGGTCTCACGGCCGCAACACGACACCGGGAGGCAGCGCCGGGGTGGCGGGTCTCGCCGTCGACCAGACTCCGTCGACAGGCACCCGGCCCGAGCCCACGACACACTCCGCCGACCCCCAGACTTCGTCCGTGGGCTCATTGAGGGACACGTTGGCAGCCTTGGTTGCTCTGGGCATTCGCACGGCCAGAAAGCCGAAGTCCACCGGGATCCGAACTACATCGGGTGAGGAGCCGCCAGAGCGGTCCGGAAGGCGAAGCTGCTCGGGGTCGGGGGATCCAAGCACGGATCGAGAAATTTGCAGCATTGCGACACGGGACAGAGACGTCGGAACGGTGTCGCCTGCGCGGGAGCGACGACCGCAAGGATTGCAGCGGGAGGCTGCAAGTGCAGGGTCCGGCAACACGGAGTCCACGAAGTCCACCGAGATCCGAACTTCGTCGGGCGGGGGGTGTCGGCCAGGGATTGTCGTGCCGTTGAGAGGGGCAGCGTGCACGGAGACGGAAGGGCGGTCCTCGCGATTCGGCACGGGTGCCGCGGAAGGGGACGAGTTTCGTGGGAGGGAAGTAGGGGAGGAAACAGAGGAACAGAAGGGAGCGCAAGAAGGGGAGGAAGAAGGGGAAGAAGAGGTGGAAGGGGAGGAAGCGGGAGAAACAAAGCTAATTGATTTGTTTGAAGGAAGGGAGGGTGCCGGGTCTGGAGAGGACGAAGTGGAACACAGTGAGGACGATGCCGGATCTGGAGAGTCGTCTGACGAGTTCAGACAACTGTACGGAGAGCATCACGAGGATGATGTCGACGACGATGCCACAGCAATAGAGATGGAGACATAAGTGGTCAGCAGGCTTTTCGCAGAGCCTGAACATTATGCGGTCCGACCACTGACGTTTGCTGTCGACTTGCAGCACTGGTTCGACGAGGCTTCCGTCGCTATCAGCCCGTCTGAAAAAAGTCGACGTATAAGCATCGACGAAGTTATCGACGGTATCCTCGGCGACCACAACGTGTCTGCCCGTCCGTCCGCAACTGCCAACGTCGCATCTTCCGTGGCAGCTGCCCTCGCTTCGTCGCCGCCGAAGTCTCTGGTGCTGCAATCCACCCTTGCCGCCGAAGGGGAAGGCGAGTGCGGTGGAGGACAGCATTTGACGTCCCCAAAAAAATCAAGGTTCGGCGGTCAGGCTCTCGACGTGCTCGCTTTGCCTGCGCCAAATTCACCATCGAAGGAGCGGAGAGAGAAACAGACTGGTAAGCCTTGAAGAACGCCTGCGCATCCGGATGTCGCCGGATTACAGTCCGCGCTATACACACGACGACTGTCCATACTGTCTGTGCATACGGGAAGTTCCGGGTGCCGGCATGCTACAGCCAGAAGCCCTTCCTACTCCAGCTCGTCGGCCTGTCTGTGACTCGGCCGGGTTGCTAGTCGAGGGCGGCGAAAACTTTGTCCAAAACCTTACACTACATCCAAGGAAGGATCTGACCCGGCTGAGGAAGTGGCCAAGGTGCTAAGAAAGTGGCCAAGTACATGGACTGACAGTTTTTCCTTCTCGGGAATAGTGCCGGTTTTAGTCCGCCGTAATCCGAACTTCCTTTGTCGATGTGTGATGTGGTCAGTCTCAGTGGGGCTGGTGTGTTCAAAAGTCCGCCGCAGTCCGAACTTCGGGGATTACTGGCCTCCGGCTTCTGTGAGTTGTGGTGGTTTTCCTTTGCGAAGTGCGGGGGTGATAAGCTTGAATGTTGCAGTCATTTTGTTTTCCAGTCGCACAACCGCACCTAGGTGCACATGACCACGTGAGATCAGGGTCCTGTTGTCGGAGAGGTCCTGCTTGACTGTAGGCCAAGGTGCTAAGAAAGTGGCCAAGTACATGGACTGACAGTTTTCCCTTCTCGGGAATAGTGCCAGTTTTAGTCCGCCGGGATCCGAACTTCCTTTGTCGATGCGTGATGTGGTCAGTCTCAGTGGGGCTGGTGTGTTCAAAAGTCCGCCGCAGCCCGAACTTCGCGGATTGCTGACCTCCGGCTTCTGTGAGTTGTGGTGGTTTTCCTTTGCGAAGTGCGGGGGTGATAAGCTCGGATGTTGCAGTCATTTTGTTTTCCAGTTGCACAACCGCACCTGTGTGCACATGACCACGCGAGATCAGGGTCCTGTGATCGGAAAGGTCCTGCTTGACTGTTGCGTCTGTACGAATGTATGGTTCTCATTTTTCGTTTTGTCTTTCTTATGTTAACCAGGGGTGGTGTCGTCTCGAACACGGAGGTCCTCCAAATATCCAGAGCACATATTGCAGAAAGTCCCTAGGTTGAGTAAAAAACACAAGGATATGTTAAAGGCATCAGAGGTTGATGTCAAGATCGGGAAGAAGGAGTACACCATTGCCATTGAGGAATGTCTTTCCCTTCTTGCCCCAAACAAAAGGACATATCCACGATTTGTGAGTAGGGGTCAGGCCATGTATGAGAAGTACTTAGCAACGCGTCATGCACCGGGGGACAATGTCTAGAACTCCGTTTCTCACTACACCACGTGTCCTTTGCTCGATGTTGTGCAGTGCGGGCAACAAGTAAAGCACGTGGGAAAAGTTTCGCTGCGACGATTGCGCCTCTTAGCTTGCGGGTTTTCAATGACATTGTACGAGGCTCGGTGCCGTCTAACACTATTATCTCTATACTGGGCGATGGTCAATTTCGGATTGCAGCAAAAGATCTCCTCACCCTCGTGCATGTCAACGGCAGGGTGAATGATGAGGTGGTCAATTTCTATATGGCGCTGTTGGGGTCGACCGCATGTGGGTCACGTGACATCTCTTCAAGCCTTCAAGTCCTCAGCTTTCATTCGTTCTTCTTCAGTAAACTGCGACTTCAAGGACACGGTGGGGTGCAGAGGTGGGCTAAATACGTAGATTTGCTTCGTTACGATATTATCTTCGTTCCTGTCCACAAAGATGATGATCACTGGATCCTCGTTTCAACATGAGAGATGATGTTCTCGAAATTTTGGATTTTTTTCCTCGCATTGTAGCTGATTCTAGTTTTTACCTTAGTGTTTTCGGGTTGATTGTGCAGTATTTTAAACGTCAAACATCACATAGGCGGTCGGGTAGGAATTGGAAGTCCGTGGTGGGAAATGTTGTGGTGGATGGAGTTTCGAGACAAGTGGATGGAGTTCCGAGACAAGTGGATGGAGCAAGCTGTGGTGTGTTCATGTTGATGTATGCGACGTTGTTGCAACATGGAGATCGACCACCTTTCCAGTTCTCTTGTAAAGATATTCCGCTTCTTAGACGACAATTAGCATCATGTGTCTTAGAACATCGTTGTTTTTGATGGATTTGATTGACTTCGAAATTTTTTTTTAAGGTGTTCCACTCGTTGATCATCAAATTTCCTAAATCGAGACATTATTCAACTGTCCTTCTGCCAGAGGCATTGCTTTCTTTTATCGTTCTGAGTTCGAATTATCTACGGCAAGCTCAATGCATGTCATGCGTCATGTATGGGATTTGTAATCTATGTCACGTAATGTTCCATGTTCCGAATTCTGTTCAAGTTGAAGTATTGTGTTCCTTGTTTCGAATTCTGTTCAACTGGAAGTGTAAACATGATTGTGAAACTGGTTGGTGGATGAATGAGAAATCTCATCTTATATGAAATTGGTCAATGGATGCCAAAACCTTATTTGCATAACCATTTGAAATGCGGATATTCATCGCGATGGAGCACAATTTAATCTAATTCAATCTAATTACATTGCTAATTTTGTTTACAAAAGTTCAACAACTATGGATGTCAGCAAACTTTCGCATTTGGGGCGA